GGCGGGAGGGTGGGGGGGTGGGGGTGGGGGGTGGGGGGTGGGGGGGTGGGCCCTTGTGAAGGAGATTAGTGCCCTTATGGGAAGAGCCACAGCAGAAGTGGACCCTCCCTCTGTCCTTCCCACTCTTTTTAGCCCTTGGCCAACAAGGTCTAACTAACAAGACAGTGGCCATACACCTCACTCCACCCTGGCTCTTGAACTTGCAGCCTGTAGTGCTATCAATAGGACCTTTCTGGGGTTGATCCACACACGGTGTTATTTGGGGAATTCTGTTGTCAATCCAGACATGTGGTGTTCTTTTAAGGAATCTTGGGGCTGTTTTCCTTTAATGATGTCTAGTTTACCTGGGCTCAGGCAAGAAGCCTGAATGGCATTGGGTGGCAGAGAGAGGAAACAGAGAAGCAGATCTGGGGCCACAGAACATATCTGGACACTCGCGATACACCGAATGCACCAATCAGCAGTGAGCTACAATTCTGAAACCACTCATGGACCAGAAAACATTTTAGAAAAGACCCAAGCAACTCCAAGAAAAGAGTACAATCGGGTGGGCAGACAGTCAATGTAAACGCCTTTAAAATCAAAAGGGCATACTTACGCAGTTGTGCAACCTTCAAACATTCCGGTTTTGATAAGGAATGGGCACACAATTGTAGTTTTGATCCCATTTTGTTTTTGGGCAGATGTTTCCAGAAACACAGACTCAGCGAATCCAAAGGCTGCGAATTTACTTGCACAATAGTCTGGGGGAGGGAGAGAGAGAGAGAGAGAGAGAGAGAGAGAGAGAGAGAGAGAGAGAGAGAGAGAGAGAGAGAGAGAGAGAGGAATTGTTGTCCAGGTCTGCACAGCCCCTTGCATTCTGTCACCATGCAGCTCAGGGACTGAGTTTTTCATGATGCAAAGGTTAATGACAGCTGTGCACTGAGCAAGTCCGCCTCCATCTTTCCAATTGCTCAGGTGATCATTAGCATCAGCTTTTAGCAGTTCCACTGTGCTGGCGAGTTTTAAGTACATTTGACACAGCTAGAATTATTGGAGAGGAGGGAGCCTCAATTGAGAAAATGCTTCCATAATTCTAGGCAAGCCTATAGGGCATTTTCTTAATTAGTCATCAATGTGGGAGGGCCCAGTGCATTGTGGGTGGTCATATACATGAGCTGGTGGTCCTTATGAGTGGTTTTATGAGAAAGCATGCTGTGTAAATCATGTTGAGCAAGCCAGCAAACAGCACCCTCCACGACTTCTACATCAGCTCCCGCCTCCAGGATCCTGCTCTGTTTGAGTTTCTGTCCTGACTTCCTTCAGTGATGAACAGCAATGCTGAAGTGCAAGCCACATAAACCCTTTCCTCCCCAAGTAGCTTTGGCCGTGGTGTTTCATCACAGCAATAGTAGTCCCAACTAAGACAACTTTATTTTAAAATAAGTTAAGGACAACACTTTTTTAAAAGCTATAATTGCATGGTACCTTTAAGAGATTATAGTTATATATTTATATAACTTTTATTTGCTTGGAGTAACTGGAAATGTTATGTGACTTGCTTTATTATAGTGATTTAGAACCAGATGCATAACAGCTCTGAGGTCTATTTGTATTGTCAACCTTTTAAATGACATTACATAAGTCACTCACTATACTAGTTGCAACAGAAGATGTGGCAACAATTTCAAAATGATTATATGGGGAGGAATATGCAATAAGTAGGAACACGGGCCAGGAAATGATATGTTAATAACCGAGTGGACTCCGAGAAGAGAAAGACTGCAGGATGCTCTCCTAGACCACAGTGCCAGAGTCACTTACAAGCCATTGATTTGTTGAGCCTGTGACAACTATGACACAGGACATAGGATGGCCAGTCCTTACTTCCAATCACATAACCTCAGGAAGTACAAATACATACAAAATACATAAAATAGTAAGTAGTATAGGGACCTAAGCAAGAATGCTCAGCTTGGTCTGTGGAACGTGGGAACAAATGTCCTTCCAACCATAAACCTTGTATTGCCAGTAATGAGCTTCTGGAACACAGCAAGACAAAGTTGCCAGTCAGTGCCACTCACAGGAACAGGGTTCTGCCAGCTCCCCCACCCCTGGGAAAAACACTGAGATACTCAGCTTGGAAGGAGGAAGGCTTTGCTTTGGCTTACAGCTTTAAGGGTTTTCCTTCACGGTTACTTGGTCTTGTTGCTTTTGGACCAAGGCAAAGCAATATCATCATGCATGGGCACGTGACAGAGGAAACCAGCTTACCTCATGGCGGTCGAGAGACAGGGAAGGGAGCAGGAAGGAGCCAGGACTTCAGCCTCCGCTCTGTGGGCACAGTCCCAGTGACCTCCTAACTCCCTTCCACCTGGTCACATCCTCTGTCAGTTCTACCATGTCCCCGGGATGCACAAACCCCTGGCAGTTTTGCACACAGGCATAGATAATGTCAGTGTGACAGTTTAGAACCGTTTTAAACCAGACTCTAGGGGAAGTGGGTGTCGGTGACCTGCACACACTCTGTGAGGCAGACTCCAGGGGAAGGAGGTGTCTGTCCCATGTTAGGCCTTCTTGACTAGAGATCTTTGTGAATCTCTTTTTCACTTGGCAACTGTGGTTATCAGATCAGCTGGGTGTGGGGAGAGAGCTGAGACTGACAGGGCGTGCAGGCGGTTGGCCAGTGGAGAAGTGAGAAGGTTCCTTTGCTTTCCAAATTCTGTAGGTTCCATTAGGGACCACCTAATGGAAGTCCAGGGGAAGGCTGCTGGGCTCCTGAGCATCCTGCCACAGTGCCGAGTGAATTTGATCTCTGAACACAGCTGTGCTGCTGAGCTCTCTTCCTCCCTCCCCATCTCCCTTCTCTCTTGAGTAGACGGGACTGCATGAGACCTCAAGACTCCAAAGCGTGTAGTCCAGGTTGACGTCCGTCTATCAACAGCAGTTCTGCTGCGTAGAGCAAGTCTCGCCCACATTCCTGATCAGACCTTCAGTGCGTTGACCTTTTTATTCTTAGGGCATGAGGTGAATGCTAGTGACTTAGCGGTATTCTGCAAGCTGAAGTTGCTCAGAAATGGTCTTACCTGCCAGCCCATTGACTCCAACTAGTCCAGCCGAACTTGAAATGCAAACCAAATGGCCATGGTTGTTAGCAACCATGGCAGGCAGGAAGGCTTTATATGTCTAAGAAGAGCAAAGGAAAGACCTTAATACTTAATAACACGTGCTATGCTTTTCTCAGATGTATATGTGGATATTGTGAGTAAAACATTTTTTTAAACTAATGAAATGCTTTAAAGGCAATGGATATAAGAAATGAAGCACACATTAAAGAGTATTTTATACCATTAACTATTATCTCACCATAAAAATGTCAATAATATTAAATCAGTTTATCCTTATTAATGCTTTGTTTGTATAATATATTAATACAGTATATAATGTTGTATATGTGTGTACAACATTAAGATCACAATCAACGTGGTGCAGGAAAATCTTTGTTGTGACAGCCATAATCCAAAACCCATAAGCACTTATGGACATTGTTGTTTTGGTGTGTATTACATTTCTTTCTTTGGCTTAATTCTAATTTTAAAACCTTTCCTCAACACAGTTCACAAGACACACTGCTTCCATTGAGGAAGAACTTTGTTTTAAACCAGTCTATACTTCTTTGAACGGTGGTCTTTTATTTTCAATACCAATTCATAAAGTAAAATATATTTTTAGACAGTGGGTACTTAGGCTGTGTCTCGGTCATACAGAACACCTTCATTTTCAAACTGAGACTCTACAGAAAAGTGGTACAGGAAGGGAAATGGACTTCTGAGGAAGGTGTCTTGAGCAACAAGCAGAAATTAACCACAGATACAGACAATGAGATTAGGAAAATGGGTTCTAGGCTTGAGAAACAGTTCTGTGGGTGTTTGTTGTCTGTACACACACATACACACAAACACACAAACCAAACTAACCCCCCCCAAAAAAATCAAAGCTAACAACAACATTAAAATAGAAAGAACTAAAAGCAGCCTCCTATAAAGGCCCAGTCTCTCCTCTCTTCAGTCACCTGCTTGACACTGCTTTGTTTCAGAGAAAGAGGCAGAAAATCAAGTGAAGAAGACAGGCAGCATTGTGTTCAGGGTCCAGTGGCCCCTCTGTGGCTCTGCTGTGAGAGCTGGAGCCCAGCGGTCAGGCAGTTACGTGAGCCTCTGTCAATCAAGTCATATGCCCATGCTTGGTCACACACAGGATTTCAAAGATATGAAGCACCCAGAAGGAAGAGACACACAGGAGAGGACGGTAGGGGCCAGGGAAACAAGAATGGCAGAGAAAGAAAAGGAGACTAGGGAGAAACAGAAGTAGAACAGCCATGAAAGCCACGGGAGTGGACTCCAAAGGGGAACGGAACTATCTAGATGTAGAGATGTAAGTAAACTCACCACACACACACACACACACACACACACACACACCCCACAAATGAGGGGACATTTGGGACAAAATAAGTAATTCCATAGGGATACAGTAGCTTCTGACATCTGGGTCTTTCTATTTCTCTCCCGTAAGGACCCGTGTGAGTTCCTACCCATAGGCTGTGTAAGGACCTGTGTGGGTTCCTGGTGTGAGAAGTCCTTCTGTCACTGTGTTGCTTTTATTGGTTAATGAATAAAGAACTGCTTTGAGCCTATGGCAAGGGCAGAACAGAACTAGGCAGAAAAAGCTGGGAGAAAGAAGGGCAGATTCAGGGAGTTGCCAGAGACAGACACTGGGATTTTTACCCAGTAAGCCACAGCCATGAGGCAATACACAGATTAATAAAAATGGGTTAAACTAATATGTAAGAGTTAGCCAATAAGAAGCTAGAGCTAATGGGCCAAGCAGTGATTTAATTGATAAAGTTTCTGTGTGATTATTTCGGGGCTAAGTGGCCGAGAACAAACTAGCAGCCTCCTTATTACAGGTTCCTAACCTTAGTCTGTGTAAGGACCCGTGTGGGTTCCTCACCATAGGCTGTGTAAGGACCTGTGTGGGTTTCTATCCATAGGCTGTGTAAGGACCTGTGTAGGTTCCTAACATTAGTCTCTGTAAGAACCCATGTGGGTTCCTAACTTTATGCTGTGTAAGGACCTGTGTGAATTCCTTACCATAGGCTGTGTAAAGACCCCTGTGGATTCCCAACCTCCCCCATGATTAAGATGTGTGTTTTATTTAGACCTTGATAATATTGTTATAGAGCAGGAGAAAAAACACTTTGAATGCCAGAGTAAATTTGCATTTAGTACGAGAATAAAAAGAATCACCCATAAATGTGCCTTGAAATTGACATCAAGTGACTTTTCCATGAGGTCATCGGGACAGTCGAGGAACTTCTTGCCTGTTACAATGCCAGCATTGTTGATGAGGATAGAGACGTCACCGACTTCTTTTTTAACCTGGATTGGATGAGAAGAATGCCACCATCAAAGCAGTACTTCTGTATATGATCTCTTTCCCAATATTTATATAGTCTTGATCCGCACTTCAGGCTGGATCTACATGCTCATCACAGAGTCCACACTGCAGCAATAGATGTCTAAGCCCAACATGGCACTTCCTTCTCTCCAGCACAGACGGGAATGCTATGACACCACTTTCCTCCTCCACTCTGAGCTCACCTTACCACCTACGTCTAGGAACCTTGTTGTGTGTTCTGAATTGGTAGCATATCACTCTAGTCAAACGACAGATATAAGAATAGCTTTAATATAACCAAAAAGCACATAGACCCCGTCCTGGCATCTGCGGAGAGAGGGAGGAGGCAGGAGCCCATGACAAGAAAGAAAATATATATCTTGAACATAAGGCAGATTAGAATCTGCCTGTCTTGTTTTCCTCAGCAGACTGGCTTTCTTCTCTCCACCTCGAACTTTTAGGAACAAGATCTGTGAGTCATGTTCGTTGCTGAAATACCAGCTTGGAATAGCATCCAGGCACTGTTGCTTTAGAAGGTGTAACACTGGACCCTTCCTCTCTGACAGCCTTCAGTTAGTCATCTTGGTTCCTAGCGCTTGTGAGCCTTTCCAGGATGATGACAAAGCTGGTAATGTCCCTATGTTCTCCTTTGTGTCCCCTGTTTCATCAGTGCCATTTAAATCACACACTAGCAGTACCTGACCCCAACCACTGAAAAAGAATGACCCATAGGAGTTACCATGTGTCACAAAGGAGACTCACGGCAGTTCCTCTTGTATCTCTAGCTGTGAGTGTGTGTACCCATGTGTGTGCATGTATGCATATGAGTATATGTGTCTGCGCATATGTGCGTGTACACCAATGTATGTGTGGGTATATTTGTGTGTGCACATGTACATATGAATATGTGTGTGCATGTGTGTGTGTGCACCTGACAGAATGGATAGTTTGAAGTACATCAAGTACCGCAGAATGGTACTGGCGAGGACATGTCACCATGGAAGCTGGATGCTGCTGTTATGGGAGGCCTGGCCTCAGCATCTGAGTGACACGGCTGGATTTTCCCTTAGCTGACTAGGTCTGTGGACACAGAGACAGTGAGAACCTGCATTCTGTACCAGGTTTCACATAAAGTACTGGATAAAATCTAAATACATGTATGCTCTGGGAAGTGGATCATAGTTCATCAAATTCAACTCAAATGGTAATCAAGAGTAGACACTAGATTGCCCCACAAGGAGCAAATGTCAAAACCCTCAGAAAGAGATCTGAGATTTAAAAAAGAACCTGCTGGAAGGCCCTGAGCTGTCAATCATGCTAGGATCTCACTCTGAAGCTCCAGGACGGCTGATGTGAAGTCCCAACAGCACAGGTTTCCCACTCCCTACTTATCAGTTCATAGCAGCAGAAATGTCTCTTCTGTTAGTGGCCAGGCAGTCCACAGTTCTGGAAATCAGGAATCAGTTACTAATTTTAAGAAAATTTCAGATACAACAAATGAAATTCAGGATATTAGTCTGTCTGTTCTTCCCTTCCTTTCCCTTCCCTTCCCTCCTTTCCTTCCTTTCCTTTCTTTTCTTTCTTCATTTTTATCTTTAGTTTGAGAAGATGCTATTTAAGCAGAGATATGATAAACCAAACTGTTTGTGATTTGATTGTCTGAAGGCCACAGTCAGTAAATAAATAGCTAGGATCCCTTAGTGCTACATCAAGGATAAACAAAAACTAAGTAGCCCTGGCTTACTCATGTTTTACTGTTCGAAATAACCTGTCACTCAGATGTACCATGAAGCAACACTGGACTTTCTAAACTCATGGCTAAGCTATGATTCTTGGACACAAGTTCTCAAAACCAAGCAAGACTGATGAAAAAGAAAACACAAGGTGTATCAATTCAAATTTTTCTCCTTGCTCATTTTTTTTTCCTGGAGACAAGCCTTAAAAATTCTTAGCCTCCTGCTGTCTAGAAGAAGTGGACTTGAGAGTTCATGGGTGGAGTAGCTCCTCCTAAGTACAGAAGGGCACATTGTCAGGGCTGCTCAAGACCACAAAGTGACAAAAGGTAAACACGAGAGAGGCTATGACATGGTAGACCATTTCAGAAGTCAAGTGTCTGGTAGAGATTCAGGAGACAGGGAGGAAATTATTTATAGAACCCTGCACTAATTTGCCATTGAGACGAAGGTCTTCAGTGTGTGAGGACAGGCTCATGATGCTGAAGCCTGGCTAGAGAGGGTGTTTGTAGTCAGTGCAAATCAGCATGTTAGGCGACAGGTGCTTCCTAGGTAAAGAGCTACAGCTGACCAGTTGACTGCACTTGAGATGTGCTCCCAGAGTGAGCCTGGCTGAGCTTATCAGGTTCAGATTCTCAGACAGCATCAGACAGCCTGTCCTGGAATAAGCGATAAGAAAGAAGGGAAGTAGAAAGGCTAGCACCAAGTCCCCTAGTTGGCCCAAAAGAGTAGTGCATGGTGTATGCAACCCAGTGTGGATATAAGGATGTGACATATATATATATATATATATACATATACACACACACATATATATATACATACACACACACACACACATATATATATATATATCCTGCTGTGCATATAAGGGCACAATAGTCCTTAGGAGGGACCAGACTGCCCATTGATGGACTAACAGCCTCTCTGCCAATATGCTGGAGTTTCAGTTTCCTAAAACCTTAAATGTTCATTTTGTTGTTACCAAGGAAGTATTTAGAGCAGTGCTTCTTAACCTTCCTAATGCTGAGACCCTTTAATACAGTTCCTCAAGTTATGGTGACCCAACTATAAAATTATTTTCGTTGCTACTCCATAAGTGCAATCTTGCTACTGTTTTGAATTGTAATATAACTGTCTGATATGCAACCCCTGTGAAATTGAGAACCATTGGTTTAGAGGCTTTGGATGCAATTCAGGACTGGAGCAAATGCTTAGTAAGCACCAAGACCCTTGGTTCAAGCCCCATTACCACCAAAATCAAATAACTATTCTCAGGATGAGAATTCTTGTCTTTTTATGAGTACCTGTAAAAAGCACATATTCTGATGGAAGGCATGAGGAAGGGGAGGGTGGACCTATCCTGGATTTAACTCAGACTGTACAGAGTGCCCACATACTAACTATCTGATCTTGGACAAAGCACTTGGCATCTGTTTCTGGCCCCTCGAAGAAGGATTCTTCCACATGTTATTCCTTCTTACACTACACTAATACAGTTGGCAGGTGTGAGGGGTGTGATCCAGAGCACAGGGTGCCACACAGGAATCAAGAAACTCAAGTCCTGGCCATACCTTTGTCAGTTATCAGCTCTGTTCCTAAAAGAAGCTCCATGCCTGCACAGATTCCCTGTTCTTATTTTCGGAGGAGGATTAGTAATTTACCTTATAGGGCTATGTTACATGCAGGGTTTTTAGCAAAAACATTTTGCATACAAGAAGAATAAAAAATTTCTAATTCTTATTCCCCCAGGTTGTTTTGAAGTAGAGGTATATTGGAGACAATTGGAAGGCACTAAGACAGAGAGGCCGATGAGCAATACTGATGCATGCCAATGTAATTGCATAGGATTCTCACAAGCCACAGAAAGCACTGAGACCCCCATTGATGTACCTGGTCGGCCACTCTGTACACTTCTTCCCTTTGGCTGCAGTCGCAGGTGTAGGCATGCGCTCTGGTGGCTCCTGCTTCCCGAGCTGCCTGTAGGCTCTCCTCATTGGCCTCCTTATTCACATCCCAGAGAACGAGCTCAGCTCCCAGGCGGGCGAACTGTAGGGCTAAGAGCCTTCCGAGGCCACTCCCAGCTCCTGTTATGAGGACTATTTCACCAGCAACGTTCTTCTTGGGCTTGGAGATCAACTGGAAAAGTAGGGCCTCCAAAATACTAAACAGCGACTTTCCTAAGAAAACAAGCATGTCCTTCGCTGATTCCAGGTTGGAAGACATGGTCCAGCCAACACCTTGAAGGAAAGAGAGAGTTTGCTCAGTTTCCTTTCCTGAGGGAAAGTACCGAAAATGTGATACAAATGTTCTTTCTAGCAGCAGACACCGAACTCAGGGGCAGACAGGAATACAGCAGCCTATGACATCGGGTCCAGCTTTCACACACGGCCTCCAGCTCCATTCAGATCTGCATACCAGCTTTGGGCTACACGTAACAATGCTTGTTAATTGGCAACTGGAACCACCTCACTCAAACTTATGCCAAGGGGCGTGCCTGGACTCCTTTCCTGTTAACCTTTGCCTCACTAACTATGCATCCTAACACGCTGTTCATTGATCCTGCCACATCCTGATATGTGTGTTATAACTCTTACGGTGCTACGCTTTTGTCTCCTTTTCCATTTCCTCTTCCTCATTTGTAGTACAGTTCTTTCATTTGGTGGTGCTGCTTAAGATTTGAAGGTGAAGGATTTAGTTCGGTGTAAGGGTGCTGGCCTGGCCGCTGTGAAGCCCTGACTTCCATCGGATTCCCAGCGCGAGAGCAAAAGAGATTTGAGAGAAAGAGGAAGCTGTAAAATCCTATCTGCAAAGAGTATTTGAGGAGAAGTGACTGCGGCTCACTCCATCTACACCCTGAGTCCCTTCCGGAGGCTGAGGGCCCCGTTCAGTCATCTCCCCTCACTTACAGGTTGAGTGAGACGAACTTGGAAGCCTTCTCTGCCTCTGGGGGATGCGCGGCAGTCCTCTGGCTCTCTGGATCTCTCTCTCCTCTCTCCCAGGCTTGGGTGTTAGGAAAGTTCTGAGATGAGAATGTGCCATGATCTCTCATAGCTCTGGCTCACAGCATTTCACAGATGGTACCAGCTGTCTTGGATTCATAATACAGATCACCAAAAAGACCCAACAGGTTTTGGGGATGGGATAAGGGCTTCCCTGAGTGGGATGTTCCATTGAGAGGCTCAGATGAAGGTCTAGGCTTCCAGAGATAGAAGGACAGACAGTAGTGGGCCTGCACTTGGCTGGTTGGCTGAGGACCAACTAAATGCTGTCAATGATAAGAGGTGGTCCAGCTCATTTTTAGAAGGATTTACACATGGATTAACAAGGGTTTGGCACGTAAGTTGATGCGGCCTAGCTCGTTTCTGGCTTATTCTATACAGATATGACTGGCCGATAAAGAGGACGTGTATGGGCCTGCCCAAGGTCACTGAGCTAGCACTAGGCTGGGCTGGCTCCACGTTATGTGTTCATCAAGTATCAGCTTCAATTGGCTCTCTGTACGCTGGAGCTGCTGGCCCTTGGTTTTCTCATAACCTCAGGATCGGGACCCCAACTGTTCTAAGAGGAGAAACAGATTGTCAGCGCAGAATTGGCTCATCACAAGCAAGAGTGTCATAAAGAAAAGTTCTCTCTGGTGGGAGACTGGATCCAGATTGGAAAAAAAGCAAGAGGGAAACATTGCTGGGGGTAACCTTGCCAATGATGGGCATCAGGAATCAGAGACTGGGCAGTAGCTTGATGGGTCCTGATCTGTGCCTCTGGGGTTTTTCTGGTTAGCAATGCTCCTGGGAGGGGACTGAGGTTCTGATCTGTGCCTCAGCACTGGGTTTTACTGTACTCTGGGAGCAACAACTCAAACCCTCTGCCAGCGTTGCTCTGATTTATTCCCAGAGTAACTTTGGAAGATTGACTATGATCCTTAGGCAATCTGCAATGAGATCTTGAAGGAAGACTCCCATTTTAATATGCAATCCCAGGGTGTGTTCCTGCAGCCCCAACAGGGCTGTATGTATGCCCAATTATGAACACAGTGAAGGGACACTCTGGCCACCCTTCGGACACAGCGCATCTCACATCCACTATTCTTCCCACTAGAAAACACACAGCAGGTGACACAGCCAGGCCACTATGTCCCCTTTCTGGCACAACATCATCATGCCATCTCCTGCCAGAAGACAGAGCTCTGCTCAGTGGTCCCCAGCCCTGTGCAGAAGGGTCAGGACGATGCAAACCCTGGAACAAGGCCTGGCTTTTCCCTGTCTTGGCAGATGTGTCTTCAGAGCCTGGTAGCACATAGTAGCCTCCAGGTCAAGTTTAGGGTGTCTTCTGTGTCCTCACATGAGGACAGAGGTTGTAGTATTTGGGTTGGAATTCTACATCTGTTAGTGCCTTCCTTGCCAACTCTGATCAGCATTATTTCTTCGCTGGGATCTCAGTCTTCTCTAAGAAGCTAATGTTCATGCAAATGCTAAGCTCTGGGGTTGCAGGAGGGAGCAGGAGCGGCACAGGGCTGCTATTAGTGATTAAAACCATTTGGACCACTTAAGAAGAAATAAAGGTAGGCATCAGCCTGCACACAGATGTCACCTAGGAAACACAATTCAGAGAAGCTGGCTGGCTTTTAGTCTCAGCATCATCTCCCCATCTCCTTCACAGCCTCCAGAAGGTGACATATTCAGAACATGAATGCTGTGCTAGAGACAGGCCCAGAGGCAGCTCTGTTAGTCCCTAGTGCTGTCATGGGCATTTGCAGGAACAAACGGCCCAAATGTTCGCTAATGAGACCCTTGAAAGTATACTGACAAGCAAAAAGCGATCGTACACCTTAATTTTATCATAATGACTTTTTTCTTAGGAAGACGCAAATGCACCCCATTTAATCGGGCTGAAAACTTGGCATCTTCCTCCCCAGTCCAAAGCCGAGATAACTAGGCACAAAGTAAGTCCACAGACGTTGCTCTAAGCCCAGGGTCCCTATGGCTGCAATACTGCCCTGGTTCCAGGGAGATAGACATGGTCGTGGCAGATAAACCAACAACCACAGCTCCGGAAAGGGGTGAGCGAGAGGTTGCATGGAGGAGGTTGTGTATATGCAGGTCTGGGCAGCATGCCCGAACAGGGCCAAGCAGGCAGCCACGCTGTTCACCCTCGAGGGACAGACGTCTGGATTTGTCCAGAACACCGCTGTCCTGCGGTGGGGGCCGACAAATTGTTTTCTCAGGGCTTGGTGTTAGTCCAGGACTGCTGAGATTCCCCTGAGCTAAACTTTCATGACTGGGTCTGGTCACCTGGCCGCTTCTGCCACCTCATTAGAAGCAGTCAGGGACTCTGGGATCTCACAACTCACCTAGGACACAGCTTCCTCTCTGGCTACCACGGCGAAGCAAGCCACTTCGTAGGTTTCAGGCACCCAGGTCCCAGGCTGGCAGCTCAGCGAGGTTCTTGTGTTTATTCCTGGGCAGGCTGAAGCACAAGCCCAAGGGCGGGACTGTGCTCCCGCGGTGGGTGGAACCTCAGCACGCACGCACACAGGACTCTACTCACCGCGTGGGTCTGGAGTCCTTCCTGCAGGTGGTATCTGGATAATGGAGACTGTACGCGTGCCCCAGTACTGCCCATTCCTTTTAAAACGTCCTATGCCCAGGCAGGATGCAAGATTCTTAAAACAGAATCTCTGGGTTGAAAAGGGCAGAGTCAGGGGTAAGAGACTTTCCAGCCCCAGGTGTGCTTGCAAGGGCATGCGGGGTTTCACAGGGTTTAGGGACCAAGCAGCCTGCGGTTTAGGGCACAGATGTGAAATTCTTCAACACTTTCTGATTCCGTCACTTGGAGCCTAAAGTCTCAGGTGTCTGTAAGGAATGGAGGCGTGAGGTTGGGATCTGTCAGGAGGTGGGTGTGTGGTGACTATAGGGGTGCCTATGGCTTAGGCAGGGGGCCAAGAGAGAATTTGTTTTAAGAAGACAAGGTTGAGCAATAAAAGTAAGTAGAGTAATGGTCATTGGTGTACGACGACCTGTTTCTAAAGCATTGCTTGTGTTCAAAGACCCAAACAAAGCACAGCTGTAATATAACAGACAAGAAAACAAGCGAAATCAATAAAATTAGTGAGTGATCTGATGGGAGCTGCACGCCGCCGAAGAGCTTATAATAGAGAGTACAGTTTCATGGGTGGCACCGCAGCAAACAGGAAAAACCAGAAGCAAGAACCAGCTTGGGTGTGGATGTAAATTTCAAGAGTGGGAAGGGGCAGAGCAGGTGGGCAAGGCCCAGAGGAGGGCAGCTGCAGTCAGACTTTGTCTGGGACAGGCTCGGACAAGAAGAGAAAGCCTGGAAAAGAAGGGGGTAGTGAAAGCTTTGTCTGCGGTCTCAGTGCTTAGAGGTTTGCCTGGCAAAGGCAGGCCAAAGTTTGGGTGGCTGTCCTGTGGGACAGGTGTGTGGGCATTGCTGTTAGGTTAGCCATCATCACCCGGGAACATCTCTGGGAAATCTGAAGAGTTTCTAAGGAGACCATGAACGATTGTATAATGAGAAGTCATCTCAGATGCCTCTAGGGGCTGTGAAGGCAGGTAGCCAGCCAGCCAGGCAGCCTAGTGAGAAGACATAACAGGCTGTAGAGACCTGGGGGTGCTGCAAAGGGGAACGGACCAGGGTGAACAGGGGAGTGATACCTAGAGATGATGGTGGACTGAGGTTTGAGGGGAACTGACTGATGCGCCTCCGTCATACAGTCTGTCTGTGGGTTCAGACGGATGGACACTGGAGAACACCAGCCTCCATTGCTTCATGGCTTCTCTTAGCAGAATTCTGGAATGTCACCTGTCTCTCTGCCGAGACATCGGGGAGTGACCTCATGGGAGAAATGAGCATTATTAGGAATTTCTTCAGTACTGAATATGGGTGTGGGCAACATGGGTGCGTGGCAGGCGCAGCCGGAGAAGCTGCAAGCCTGAAAGGTGAGGGCTCTGCTTCGACTTGATGGTGGGAGACCCAGGCTTGGTTGCTACCCTGAAAGCTACGAGAGGGTTCCTGAATGGAGTCCCTCCGCAAGGCAAAGAAATGCACAGTTTATGTCGGAAACCATCTCATGGGCTAATTGACATAGGGAGCATGGTCTCGGTGCAGTCTGAGCTTCTTGGATTGGATAGAGAAACACTGAAGGATAATTTCTTTCAAATGGACAGATACTTTGAGAAAGAAGGAGGTAGGGTGTCAGTTATGTAATC